CACCATAAATCATAACTGTGGATTTGAATCCAGGTAGGGTTTAGACTTTAGGAGTTCCCTTTCTCTTTAGAAATGGTGTTAGACATGATAAAGTGGTTCATGAAGCAAGTTATTAGTAAACCTGGTTTATTTTCCTCATACTACAATCACAGATTGACACATTCCACCTGAGAGGTAGGCAAGGCTAATCAACTTATACTGCTAATTTTTATTGAGTCAAATTTTGAAGCTCTCACTAATTTTAACTGACTCTTACTTTATTCTTTAGGATCAGCAGAAATAGGGGCTACTTAAAAGTTCAGTCGTGCATCCTCTCTCACATTACTTTTTCCTTGTTGAGCCTGGTAGGAAAGTTGATTCTGAGTTGTGCTTATCCACACTGAGGTACTGAAGAACTGAAAAGCTCTTGTCAGAATGCAGAAAATATATGATGTTTTGGATGCTGTGCTGTGTCACAAAAAATCGTCAGTATAAAAATTTTTATATTCTCAGTAAATGGAAACCACAGCAAATGAAGGTAGGCAGTTGGGCCAAATATGTGTGTATTTCACTAGAAATATTAAAAATCTAGAAAAAGTTCTGAAACTAAAGTATTAGTTTAGAAATTAGAATGTTGATGTAATAGACATGTTAGAAACTTAATGGAAGAAAAATAATCAATGTGACAGGCACATTGATGACAAATTACATGAGAAATACAGGTAAAGCACAGATTTCTTTTGTCTTGAAGTGAACAGAGTCAAATGTCATGGATTAACTACACCACAAAAGCCAAGAGTGCCTACAGATTGAAATTACAAGATTAAATGGGAAAACTAGAACTGTAGCACCACAGGACAGCAGTCCGATATTAGGACTGCAGTAACAACTGTCCTACCTAAATAGTGACATTGCCCATGAAAAACCTGATCAAGATCAAAAGGGGCATGAAGACAAGAAATGCAATGGCAGTAGGAGACATAATCTACCAAGTGAGATTGGGTAAATGGGCTGGGGGTTGTGATTCTGCATAAAAATTTAGGTTTTTTAAATGCTTGCTTATACAAAAGCTATTTGTTTATCTTGGAGAAAAAAAAGTAATTCTAAGTAATTCTAAGACTTGGTCTTAGATAGCAACAGAAAGATCTGTTTCAAAATACAGCTGGAATATCTGTGTGACAGCAGCTAACGCATTTAGAGGCAGTGTTCTTGAAATAGAAGAAAAAAAATGGGAAAAAATCTCCCATGGCAATGTTCAACTTTAAAGAGAAAACTACATAAAAATGTGAAAACTGTTTAAAAAGAAAGGGAGCCAAAATTTAAAATGTTTATAGGAGGCCTGAAGTTTGTTTAAATATGGGAGCTCACTGTAAGTCAGCTTCCAGGGAAAGGCTTTAAAAGACCAAAAAAAAAAAAGGTTTGCATAGCTAAACAGCAGGATGAAGGACTAAAAGGATGTCTCCTATTAAAAGGACTTCTTTTATTGGAAGTAAAAGGGTTTTCTTCAAGTTGAATTTCTGCCTAAATGAGGAAAATAAAACATAAACAATTTAAATATATAAATAAAAGAAAGGCCAAAAGAGATTTTGAAGAACAACTTGGCAAAAAATGCTAGTTAAGTAATTTTCAGTCTCTCTTTAAGTAGGTGAAATCCTGACATAAAATCTACAGGACTAGTAAATTATCAAAGTAGAGAAGGTGTTTGGAGATATGTACATTCTGACACATTTTTCTCTCAAGAACATATCAGAAGATTTGTCAGCAATAAAAGTGTTATAAGAAGAGATTTCAAAAAAATTGGCAACAATGAACAGTAAAAAATTACCAGGACAGTATGGTATCCCTGCAAATTAAAAAAACTAAAGTACTAAACTGTGCTTAACTAACAAATACTAACTTGTACTTACTAAACCAGTAATGATGGTGTAAGGCTTAAAAGTTTCTCACTCTGAAAAAAATGGAGGTGGTAAATATGACAAGTAATCTGAGAGATTGGTAGGACCTGCAATGCTCTCTTAAGCCCACTTCTAAATCATAAGATTTATGGGTAAGTATGATTAAAAAAGGGGGAGAATAAGCATAGCTTTGAAACAGGAACCCAGAACCTCTAAAATTTCGTTGAAAAAGTGACAGGACATATGGATGAGGATGATCCATTTTGTAGAAGCTAGTTGGTCTTCCAGAACTCATTTGAGCATGTTCTTCATCAAAGGGTCTTGAAGAAACTTAAGTATCATAGGGTAAGAGATTCAGGCCTCTCAGTAATAACTGACTACAAATTGAGAAAAAAATAGCAGAGGATATTGTTCATTTTTGCAATGGAGGGAACTCTTCATTAGAGATCCCATGAATCTGTAAGAGCCTGTGATGTTCAACTTACAAATGTTTTGAAAGATACAGGGAGGGGAGGAGATGCCAGAGATGGCAAAATTCACTGATGTTATTCAAGGTAGGAGACAGGTAAGATTGCTGTAGGGGCTTGCAGCAACATCTCATTATACTGATGAACTAAATTTATCATTAATAAATATAAGGTAATACACATGGGGGGTAGATCTTAACTTGTACATCCAGACACGATTTAGAGTTACAATTGCTAGTTCTAAAAAACCACCCCAAACCCCACTGTGTTCAGCAGAGGACAAAAAAGCAAACAGTGTTTGAAAACTTCAAAAATTTGAATAGAAAACAAAACAGCAAACATCACAATTCCCCTACACAAACGTATCACACATCCAGCTCTTGAATTCTGTTTGCACTTTTGGCCTCTTCTCAGGAAACAGACCTCGTGTAGGATGATCAGAAGTGTGGAAGAGCTTGTCTGGAGTAGCTCAAAATAGAGTTGGGCTCTTCACTCTTGGAATGTGAGGACAGAGGGAAGGATCGGTAACAGTATGTGTGGCACAGAGACAGTAAATGAGGAACATTTCCCTGTTTGCCAAACTGTTCACCAAACATGTGGTGCACCTGTTACTGGTGGCAGGTTCAAAATGAGCAAGAGGAAGGGGTTTTTTTATACAATACATAGCTGGAACGTGAAGTTCACTCTTAGAGGATGTTGTGAGTTATTCAAAATGTTATTCAACAAAATTAATGGAATTTAAACACCGTTAGGGCTATTAAAAAACATGACCTCAGCTTAGGAAGGCCCTAGGGCTGGGTTAAGATCCTGAGAGAGTTTGTCCATGACTGTAAATCCTTGTGTCTTATATTCTTCCCTCAGCTGCTGGAACTGTCCTCTCTTAAGAGACAAACTGCAGGGCGAGGTGAATCTCTGATCTCACCTGGTGCACCCATTGCAATTGCTTTAATGAAATCAGACTTACTACACAGCTCTTAATTCAACTGTTCCTGTTTATATCCAACTTTTATTTTATTTGTAGCTCTACATTAAAAAAAAAATACCACAACCCAAGAGAGGCTTTGTTGGTTAGCATTGTTCAGTCATGGGGCTCAGACTGATGAGTGGGGAGAGGATGTGACTAGGAAGCCTGGAAATTCATCCCTCAGCACTGCCCCACTCTGTGGATACCTATTTTGCTTTGTATCTCATGGCCCAAGCTACCTCAGTTTGTAGGCCAGAGTGCTGAATACCTTATGCAAGTTGAGTGCCTGTACAGCAGAGTCCTCATTGGCTGGTCTGCAGTGTAGGGACCTTTTTTCATTTGGACAAAGCTAATTTTTATTGTTGTTTTTGTGGGTTCCGTTTAGAAGGGCCCTGCCTACATTTTTCTTTTCTATCATCCCTCCTCTTTTGCTTACTACTGAATGCTTGCTGGGTTAATGTTGTATTTCTTCAATTCCTTCTCAACACAGTATGTGACCTCTAAGGTAGATGGTCCTGGGAAAAGGCTCCATCCATGCTTTCTAGCTGTTTTCTTTTTGTTTAAAGTGGATTATAATTGGTCTTGAGGGAGAAGACTCGGTTTTAATAATTGTTGGATTTTAGACATTTTGCTATCAGACATGCTTATTTTGATTTTAAGGTTTTTGTTATTCCTATTTTTAAAATAGTGCATTTGGAATACACATCATAAACACATAATTCTCGTATGCTGGCATTATTCTGTTTTTTTATGAAAAATTAATTTTAGTTTTAAAATTGTTGTAGCAGGAAACCCATCAAACCCATGGTTGTAAATTGTTAACTGTTTTAGGCAGGTTTTATCCCATTAAATACCCACCTTGTTGATTTTTTTGTTGTTCTAGTTTCTCAGTCAGAAATCATAGAATGTTTTGTGTTCAGAGGGACTTTAAAGATCATCTAATTCCAACCCCTGACAGATGCCTATAACACATGCTATATACAAAATATTAATGGTGTACAAGCCACAAGATTGAGATCAGAGAGTTGATAATGTGTTATGGACTCACCTGCTGTCAGGATTGTAGCAAACATGCCCGTTTTATGCCCAAGGTGGGAGAGCAGTAGATATGATGTCTTTGATTCCCACTGAAAAGTGACTGAAGGTAAAAACTTGTGGTGTGACCTCTAGTCAGACCTAACAGGAGTGTAGGGACAAACACTGAACAGAGATTTGCCTGGGAGCCTGAGTGAGACCTGATGAAGGAAGACACTCTACCACTGTTATCTCTGCTTATTCTTATTTTTTAAATTTAGCTTTCTGTGTATCACTGATAATTCTGAAATTACTTGAATGGAAAACATGGGGCTAGAGTTTAGCTGAAGGCCAGGCCCTGCCTTGCTATCACAGAGTTTTGATAGGGTGAGATCACAAAGACAAGATCAAATGAGAAATTGTGTTTGGAAGTCTTTGCCAACAAGTTTTTGGATATAGAAGTACCACAAGAGGAGGAAAAATGAAAATTAAGGTACATCTGGAAATAGATCACATAATATAATCACATTTTCTCACATAGTTATACTTTTTGATATTTCATATTGCAGTGAAAAGAACTTAATTTGTTTGTAATGAACAAAATGTGGACATGGAGCTCTCACTGTGGCAGACTCTGTCATAGCCTAATTATTTTTTTTTGTCTGTCATTTCTGTATATAGGTGGAAAATGTTCGGTTACTTGATCGTTTATCTTCAAGGAAAGCTGTTCTGGGAACCTTGTATTTAACAGCTACCCATGTCATATTTGTGGAGAATGGTTCTGAAACCCGTAAAGAAACCTGGGTATGAATTTTTGTCTTTTCAGTTATCTTTAAGTGCATGGCACTTTATTGATGGTAATTTGAAAATTACTTGCAAAACAGTTTAGACATAGTAAATGAGTTCATATGGATGCTTTTGTAACTTCAGGGCACGTGAAGTTCCAGCCTAGTAAATTCTGAAAATTTTCAATGGATTCTGGATATTGCAGTACAATAAGAGGAGTAGAAAGGCCTTCTCTATATGAATACCACATGTATTTGAATGAGGAGCAGCTGCTGTAAACTCCAATATTGTTCCTATCATCCAGGAAGAACTGAAGAGAAATGCCTTGAGTATGAACTACTACCTTGGCTCTATCAGCTCTTGCCTCTCTCACTGACTGCTGGTGCTGAATTAGTAATTTTCTTGTTTTAATATTTTAATTTTTTTTATAATGTAGTGTTTTGAATTAACTGTTTTGACGGATTGATAACAGACGTTGCATGTTGTCATGGTTTAACCACAAGCCATTAACCAAGCCCCACGTAGCCACTTGGTCACTTCCCCACCAGCAGGATGGGGAGAGACTTGGAAGGGTAAAAGCTATAAAACTTTTGGGTCGAGATGAGGACAGTTTAATAGATAAAGTAAAAGCCTCACACACAAGCAAAGCAAAACAAGGAATTCATTCACTGCTTGCCATGGGCGGGCAGGTGTTCAGCCATTCCCGGGAGAGCAGGGCCCCATCACACATAACAGGTACTTGGGAAGACAAATGCCCTCACTCCAAACAACCCCCTTCCTGCTTCTTCCCCCCACTTTATATGCATGAGTATGATGTCATATGGTATAGAATATCCCTTTGGTCAGCTGGGGGCAGCTGTCCTGGCTGTGTCCCCTCCCAGTTTCACATGCGTCCTCAGCTTTCTTGCCAGCATTGCAGTATGAGAAGCAGAAAAGGCCTTGATTCCATGGAAGCAATAACAAAAATATCTCTATGTTATCAACCCTATGTTCAGCACAATTCCAAAACACAGCCCCATAACAGCCACTGTGAAAGAAATTAACTCTACCCCAGCCAAAGCCATCACACATGTACCTATATAGGTACAAATATTTCTCCAGTGCCGTATCATTTGAAAGTCTTTCATATGGCTTAACTGTGCATCCTGTGTCCATTTTTGTACTAATTAAATCCATCCTTTTCTGGTCCCACTATTCCTCACCTGATTTTTATTGTAATGTTTCATCTCATCTGACGCAGCATGTAAAATTATATCATCATTACCATTCTATCCATGAGAAAGCCCAGTATTTTAGCCATATCTAAGTGGTGCTGGTTCATCTTTTCACTGTGCAAATAGATGAAAAGTGCTCTTTCTCTGACAACCACTAGCTTACACTAAAGCAAGCAAACAAAAAGCTTTGGATAACACAAGCAGGCTGATATTTGAGCAGCTGAAACACTCCAGAAGCGCTTCTTTGTCTGCAGGTGATGTATCAAGCACTGCTTGAGCCTGAAGGTGGAGATTGAAACCAGACTACAAGAGGAGAAGTGTAGGGGGTTTTGTGAAACAGTGGTGGAAGCCACTGTGCCTGCCCTGGCACATCATTATAAATAATTATTTTTCTTCTTAAAGATTTGATTGGCATAACAATTTTCAATTCCTTTACAGGTTCTCCACAGCCAAATTTCCTCTATTGAGAAGCAGGCCACCACTGCCACTGGTTGCCCATTGCTGATCCGCTGCAAGAACTTCCAGGTCATCCAGCTGGTCATCCCTCAGGAACGAGACTGCCATGACATTTACATATCTCTGATCCGTCTGGCACGGCCAGGTATGGGAAGGAAATGGCACAAAAAGTAGTCCTCATCCTGAAGAGGGAGAATATAATGGAAGAAATGTATCTATGTGTCTTTGTCCTTTGCAGGTTAAGAAAAAACCTTCATTAGAGGTGTGTTTTAAAAGAAACATTAAAATAATCACTTATGGAGCAATGAAGAAAGCACAATATAACAAGTAGTTTGTTCCATAAAATATGACATGAGCTTCGTTTAAAATAGTACTCTATGGGCCATAAAATATATTATAATGCTATTTTACATGCAGCTGTTGTTTGCTGGATGCCTTGTGTAAGTGTGAATTTCGGAAAATACTCTAAATCCAGGGATCTTTTGTGCCCCTGCTGTGACAAAAACCTTACAATATATTAATGGTCATGTCAAGATTTGAATTTTGACTTTCTGTGCTGTGCATAAATTTCTTAAAATCAGTGAAAGGTTTTGCAGCAAGTAGTTGATTTATTCCACCAGCCTGCCCATGTTTTTGTCTATTATTGTCTACATTTTGAATGTGCCCTGTTTGAATTTCTGAATTCAGTTCAAGATCCTTTTGAAACCTTTCCTCTTTTCAGTGAAAATCCAAATGTTGCACCAAAGTCCAACATCTGATCGCCTACATTATAGCTCCTCTCTGCATTACACTCTCCTAAGAACCAGCTGACAAGGGTTCTGGATTGTTTCTTTTTAAAATTATAACTGTAGAAATACAACACTGACTTTTGTCCCTTACTATTACTTTAATAGAATGCAAAGAAATTGTCTACCACACTGTACAAAGCTGAAAACACTGGCTTTAATTTTTATCTTGCTAGGAGAACACCAATTTCATCTACTGTTTAGAGGGGGGAAAATTGCGTAGTCAGCCAGCACAACTACTGAACTATAAAGTACCTTCTATAATTAGGGTAGTAGGAGTAGTAGGAGTAGTAGTAATGTACAACTGTAACAGAAGTAACTTAGTAAGCTAGGTGATGCTGGTTCAAAGTAATCAGAAAAATTTTAAAACAATGAGACAGATCCAGTCAGTGGTTCTGCTGATAGAGGTCTGGATTCATTCCATGGACCTCAGCTGCAAGCATGTGTTCATGTGTGCTGGAAGAAATGCAGTTCTGGAATGCTCTTTCCCTGGAGGCTGAAGGAGGTGTGCGTGCTGCTATGCACCAGAACGGGCAGACAGAAGGGTAGCTATGGACCCTGAATGCAACTTCAGTGGCAAACTGCAATGGACAAGAAGGTTTGAGTAAAGAAGATGGAAAAACAGCACTGTAGAATTAGCTCTTTCAGTAGTTCAACGGCATAGTAGTTTTCCTTCTCCAACAAACTATCCAGTCTTGATGTGAGGAAGGATAAAATTGTGCTTACTTACTCAAAATTAGAAGGCTCTGATTACAAGCTGAGCCATATGTGCCCTGACAGTTCTCGGCCATGTCATTTTGTCTGGGTGTGAAGCTGTACTTTCTTTAGGTAATACAGTTACTCAGCATTAGAAAGTACCCTTTGCTCCATGAGGAGAAAATGAGATTCAGGCTCTACTTTCCATTCTCTGCCTGTTCTTTTCATTCATTAAGCCATAGCGAAGCCTGAGTGAAGCCCATGTTGTGTACTGGCTTAACATGTTCTATGCCAGCTGATGTCCTAGTAATGTTAAAGGTGAATTTTATGCTAGAATTTTATTTTTGCTAGAATTTTAATAAGATCAAGCTGTCAGCTGAATTTGGACTTTTTGCTTAATTAAGCCATTTTTTTAAAACAAGCTGACTGTAAGAGTAGTTACATGCTTATAGCAAAATAACTGTAAAAGATTAGGAAAGGTCCTATAAGTACTGGCAAAGGGGTGGTGACTGAGCTTTAAGGCACTGCTACTAATACTTGAACATTTTTGATACCACCTATAGATACCATCATGTAATAATACTTGTAACATTGAGGCAGACTTCAGTTGTATGTAACCCAGATATATTTTAATAAGTGAATTTTTAAAGGGTTTCCATGTGCCTGTAAACAGCAGGTCCATCAGGAAGAAAATCCAGATGTTTCTGACAACGAAGCAGTGAAAACAAGAGCTCAGATTGCTACCAAAAGCACTTCAGTAAAAAGAGCTCAGATTAGATTTATGGATTATGCTAAAACTTTGTGTTAGCAGATGAGAAGTAAACCAGACTGTCTTCCTCATCTATGCCATGCCACAAGTTTGAAATTAGAGAATACAGAAAGAGTTTAAATTGTTGGACAATTTGCAAATAATTCTTTTCTTTTTCCCTACTCAAGACTTTGTTGACTTTTTGTACAGTCCTAACATGAAGTTTTCTTTCCTTATGTTCATACTTTTGTGTATGTGTGTATACAACAAATTTAATGAAATTAAAAAAGGCAAAATAGAATTTAAAGTAAACCTTTAGAAGACATAGTCAAAATACAAGTAAAGACTTTCTATAGAAAAAGGTGGGAACCTTATTATTAATATGGGGGAGTATTATTTTTATACCTCTATATTCTGTACAGTACAGAACACTGTAGTGTTCTAAGACTGCTTATTAGCTATATATTATTAGAAAAAGAAAGTGTGGTATTTAAATTTACTGATCTCCCTAAAATTATATTGTAGAGCAAGTGTATCAGTGGAGAACTGTGAAATCATAGACTCAGCTTGTGATTTACTTTGCCTCAGTTCTAAAGTTAAAAACCTGTTGGTCAGAAAGCTTTAAGGAACTTAGAGCAATGGAATGAAACACACCCTTGTGACATTGATTAAATATCAATGAAAATGTGAATTTCAAATTGTATGCTGAATAGTTACTCATGTCAGTAACAGCTGGCATTCAATGGCAGTGGTGTCTGGCTGCCACTGATCACCAGGATTAAGACACTCATTAGCATAAATACAGATATATTCCTAAAAAAAGTCAAAAACTCCAGCACCATCAAAGTTTCCTATATGGTCCTTGATCGACAGAGACAGGTGGCATAGCTACTTAAACAATTTCATGGTCATGATAAAATGATTGACGTAGCATATGCTTTTTTTATGCTATTACGTCATCTGTATCTCGAATGCCTTTGCCAATAATTCAGGGACAGAATTTTGCACTCCGCAAAACTAAGATTTCATTGAATCTATTGGAAACCTTCCTAATTAGGAACAAAAACTACTGAGTTCATTTTTGTAAGATTGTGCTGCATAGTCCATTGTTCACATCTTATGTCTTTGCCACAGGATAGATGTTACGTTAATAAAGGGAGTTCTGAACTAGTAGACAGTAAATTCTTTTGCAGATCAAGTGCTTACTCTGGCACTGACTGCAGTTTTCTTTGGATGAAAGCGTATCACTGACATTTTGTCTGTGCCGGGGGAGGCCTTCACAATTCTACTGAAGTTTAGCAGAACAGTATATTTGTAGTAGCACTTCTATTTCAACATATACAAATATCAAAAGAGCACAATACTTTCAAAGTTAACTTGACAGTAGATATAAACCAGGACATGTGCTTTTGTAAAACAAAGCATACTGCTTTAAAAGAAACTGCATCAAGGCCAACACCAAGTTCTGCTTTTAAAGTGTGATTTCTGGATAAGAAATCTGAAGCAGTTTACTGTTTTTGTTTGTTTGCTTATTTTTTTCCCAGTGAAATATGAAGAGCTGTATTGCTTCTCATTCAATCCAAAATTAGATAAAGAAGAACGAGAACAAGGCTGGAAGCTTGTGGACCTCAATGAAGAATATAATCGGATGGGCGTTCCAAACAACTATTGGCAGATTTGTGATGTAAACAGAGACTATGGAGTGAGTCATTGTGATTTTTCTGTTACAGAGGCTGTCTGTAAAACAAATCAGCAGCCTGACTGTGCTTAGTTGCAGGATCCCTTTGTGCTGAGTGCTGTACACACATGTCACAAGGTGCAGTTCTTTCACATAAAATGGCACATAGAGAATGAGAGAAAGGATATGTCTTTATTTAACAGATGTGAAAATGAAGCACAGAAAACAGTGTTTTAAATGTTAGAGTTTGGCTGCCTGGGAAGAAGTTTAAATCATTCCTAATGTTATGTGTCTGAATAAGATTTTTCCTGACATGTAGGGCTATATAAAATTACTACACAGTCATTTTATGAAAAAAAATTGCTCAAAATAGTGAGCTTAGCAATATTTTTTCCTCACTGGCTATTCCCACACTCCTTTTGAATCCTGTGTGATTGAGTGTTTTCACAGTCATCTAGTAGGTCATATATCTTCCTAGCTGCCTGCTGTCCTGCCTCATTCAGTCTTGTACAACTGAAGACCCTAGAATGTTAATTAATTGTGAGAAATAATAACCAAAGGATTTTTGAAGGAAGTTTGTCCATGCACTGCATTGGCTCTGTTGCTGGAGCACATCCATGTTAAGGAAGGTCCGTGAAGTTCTCAGAGAAGACTGAATGTGCTGTCAGCATTTGTTTTTGTTAAAAGAAGTGGAAAAAAATGTTTGGCCTCTTCTAAGATAAAGTGTAGGGAAAATGGCATCATGAATAAAATCCAGTTCACCGCAGCAGCATCTGTAACCACAAGCCATAACTTTCCTTTCTCCTTCATTACATATCTCTGTCTCAGAAAATAATTTTTTCCTGGGCATTCTAATTCCTTTAGTCATCTCAGAAAGTCACAGGGAGATACTGGATATCCTTTTGACCCCAGTCAGAATGTTACAGGCAGTACCAGGACAAGGAAGTTAAACTAGGGCCCCATGCGTGGTCCTACTTGTCTCCAGAGGGATTTCTGGGCTTTTTTTGCAGGCTCATAGGGTTCCTCTCAGAAGTGATAGGCATTGTAAGGGCTGCTTGCCTTTTGGTATCCTCATTTCACATGGTTTAATTTTTTTTCTCCAAGTCCCTATTTTTATCCTTATTTTTTAAATTATTATTATCGGATTTGCTGGAAAATTCGTCTCTATAGTCGTCTCCCATTATAAAAGGGTGTTTGAGAACTTCACCCACTCCCATCCTTACTCCCAAATTGTGCTACAGAGAAAACTGCAGTTGTAAATACAACCTTGCTGTACATAATGATAGATGTTTTCTGGTATGAATGTATGTTAAACCTGTATGTTCTCAACAAGGCATGAATCAACATTTGGAAATACAGCCCTTCAACCCTTCTCCTTCAGTTTTTCCATCTGTAAGTTATGATTAATACTTTCCAGCTTCAAAAGAATGTTTTGAGAAATGTCAGTGATGCATATACAATAATGATGGAACATTTCCCAAGATTTGAGTTCCTTGGTATTTTGTTTTTGCTGTGGAGATGGCTAATGTTACTTGTACTTTGTAGACCAAATAAGCAGTTTCCTTTCACAGGTCTGTGACTCCTATCCTACAGAAGTGTATGTACCAAAATCTGCAACTGCGCACATCATAGTGGGGAGTTCTAAATTTCGGAGCCGAAGGCGTTTCCCAGCTCTTTCCTACTACTGCAAGGGTAACAATGTAAGTGCGAATTTGAAGCTTTGAAGTGTTTGCTTATTTTGGCCTTGGTTTTGTAATTCTTCTAGTAAGGTTTTACAAGAAATCTGTGATTATTTAATTTTTAAAAATGATTACTGTAGCCTGGTTAGTGTGGTTAGTTCATTAGTAGGCATTAATAGGTATTTAATGCATTCATTTAAATCTAGCTGCATCACACAAAAAAAAGTGATCCCTGTATCATAAGAAAGTGGAGTAGTGCAAGAGGCCCTGAAACTTGGTTGGCAGAAGAATGAAGTAGCAGGCAGCTTAACAGGTGATTGGGAGGAGAACAGAGCAATTTTGGATCTCGTAGCCACAGACTGAGTTGAGGAGGTTAAAAACTATACTTGCAGCAATTAGAGAATCAGGAGTAGCTTTTCAAGAAAACATCTGTGAAGAGACCCAAAAAAGATGGATGAAAGCGCTATCAAGTGTTGGCTGAGCAGCATGTTGTGGGTTTGTTGAAGAGTCTCTCCTTGTCTGCAAGAGTGAGGAGTGCCATCTTCTCTGATTCATAACACATATTCTCAGGGTAAGCAAGGAACTGCCTCACTTGTCTGTAACCTTTTGGAAAAAACCCTGACCTTGACCTGTTTGCATTTCTTTTTTCTGGCAGCTGAGGTAAAGGACTGAAGGATCCCATGGACTGGGTGTTTTTACATTTGTGTTCCAGCCCCTTAGAGATTGGCTTAGCTCAACTATCATTACCTGTTAGGCTAATGGTGTCCCTTTTGTGCTGTCAGAGGATCTGTGTGACTCCAGTTTCAGTCCCAGACTGGCAACTGCATTGAGAGGTCTTTTGTAGTGCTGGGGGACAGGCAGGACCTCCCAGGAGACAGAGCTACTCTGAGATTACAGGGCACCTGTAGCTTTTGCCAGGCAGGATGGGAGGTAGAATGTAACAAGCACAAATCATAAATTACAATCTCCACAGAAATCTTTTGGCCCCTATCATAGTTTAAGCCTCAGAAAGAAGGGGTAAGATGTTATTTTCACTTCTTCCTTACCCTGCATTTTATCAGAATATTGCTTCCCTAAAGATCTATGATTTTTACAACAAAAGTGGAGGATAGGAAGATTTGAATAGTAAATACAATCTCTGCATAAATTGCATAATTTTTTTAACATTTCGTGAAGGCCAAATTTTTCAGAGTTAATCCCTTTGCATAATCAACTAGGTCCAAATATAGATATCTAGGATTCAAAACACTTGGACATTTCCAAGTATCAGTGAAAGAAAAGGTCTCAGGAGTCAGCTAGATTCCAATATATAGTGATTGGATGAGTTTCACGGTTTCAGCCTGAATGTTTTCCCTGTTATATTTGGAGTCCAGGTTAAGGTTCAAACTACAGGATCTGAAGTATTGTGTTTACTTGTGGATCCTTCATGGTTCAAAAAGCTGGGGAAAGCAATGTTGAAGGAAATACCTCCTTGTGAGTTTGGAGGTTGCCATGAGTTGCCAGCTAATAGAGTAATGGACAGGGGAGGGAAAAGGTTTATGATGCTCACAGCAGGTTAGGAAGAGGTGTGCTGCATGCAGAAAGAGACAGGTACCACTCGTTCAGTCTTTCATATCCAGAACTTTCCCACAGCTCTTTTGTCCTGACAAAAGAGGTATAAGCATGTATTAAATTGCTGGAATTTGCGCTGATCAGGAGGCAAGACTGCATAACTAATAACCTGTTTGCAAAAGCTGTTAATAAAGTAGGAACAGGCTCTCACACAATTCAGAGTTTCTATCTTAAAGATCCATATTTTACTTACTAACTACTGACAGTTCAAAGACGTGACTGAAAAAAAGCATGTCCTTTCTCACAGTAATAAATAATCTGTAGGGCAGTCTGCATGGGACCTTCAGCAGGCAGATTCTGTTCATGCTTGTGTTCAGTGCTTAGAATGTGCATATATTAGCCCTTTGTCTTCTACAAATCTAGCTGCCCTCTGCCTAGCAAAAATAAAAGCCTCCTTGATCACCTATTTCACATTTAGTTCCTTCCTTCCTGATTTCATCTGGAGGGGTCTGTGGAGAAGCTCTCTTGCCTCCTTCAATAGCCATGATTAATAAATGTACTCCAGGAGTCAGGCTGCCTGACCCACTTCTCATGCAGTAAAGTCTTTCTCCAGAGACAGTGCTAAAAATATATGACCATTAGTGATCTGGCTGCATGTTACATGTTTTTGTTTCCTTGACTCCTGGTGTCAGGCTGTTTAGTAAAGCAGGCACTGGTGTAAATTGGGTGTAACCAGTATCATACCTGGTGTGAGTGACAGTGCAAAAGAACCTATTCTTTATGTTATATCTGTGTTCTTGTGATTGCAATTCTGTACTCATCCTCAAGATATCACCTTTCAGGAGTTATTCCACGTTAGGCAAATACTATATTTAAAATAGCTCTAAAACTTGGATTCGAGACTAGACTTGGGCCAAAGGTGTTGTATTGTTTTAGTATTTCCTTGCCTTTTTAAAAATAATGTATTTATTATCATGTAATTAATTTTACCGTTCTGCCCTTCTCATGTAACTGTACATCTGTGCAAAAAAATGGTTTTGTAAATGCTTCTGGATGCTAAATAATTTCTACTTAATAATAATGTTGGGGTTTTTGTTTGTCTGTTTTTCTGCAGGCCTCCATATGCAGAAGCAGCCAGCCTTTATCTGGCTTTAGTGCTCGGTGCCTTGAGGACGAACAGATGCTCCAGGCCATTAGAAAAGCAAATCCAGGAAGTGATTTCATATACGTTGTTGACACTCGGCCCAAAGTAAGTGTATTAGATTTCTTGCATATAGCAAGACTGAGTTGCACCTGTGTAATTCCACAGATTGATCAGGGTTTATCAGGGGAATCTTAGCTAGGAACCTTACCAGCATTGTTATCTTTAGGGGAATTTTTTCCTTTACGCTGAGCTTTTCTCTTTTTGTTCTTAGCAAAATGTTAAGATACAGAAAAGTAAATAGCTTCTAGTTGTAACTATTTACACACACATAGGAGCTATCTGTAACTATATTTCTGATGAGACTAGCAAAATCTAATTCCCATTATAAAATATTTTTACAGTTGTTCATAATGTTGCAAACTTCTGCCTACTTATACTAAAATTTTCCATGGGTGTTTTCTCTTGCAAGTGGGAAAATGTCAATGACCTGTGCATAAAGACAAAGACCAGTTACTGATGTTACAAGAATGGAGGAGACTTTTTTGAATATCTCCAGCAATTTTGTGGTTTTGAGAGAGAATTTGAAATTTGGTAAATAGTGATCTCAGATGCCATATCTCTACAACTGACTGAAAATCTCTGGCCAAGATAAAAGCTTTAGAAAAATTACACTGTGCAGAAACATAGAAACTCAGTAACGATCCAGAAGAGGTTAGAAGCTAAAAAAACATTTTGTCCAAGTTATCATGCTAGCAAACAGCTCAAGGTGATGAAGATTATATAGACTTCATTATCTGGAGGTGGGAGCAGGGATATGTTCTTTCTTACACTATGAGCAACTTCCCTGTTGAAGTGACCAAAGCACCTGAAGAAAAGAGACTAACAGGGCAAATCTTCATAAAATCCCTCATAGATGTAGGATGAGTTATAGCATGGGAAAAGAAAAAATGAGAGCAAAGGCTTGAGGAAAGGGAACAAGAAAGCTGTTTCAGTATTCTGAGATCAGGAGACAGACCCTGAAAAGGCAAGGTGGGTAAAGCTGAGAAACATGAAGAATGGAGTGAGGAAGGGCAACCGTGGCAGAGCTGGAGCAGAAGAGAGGAACCTGCTTGGTTGGTGAGTGCCTGCAGACGTGGGGACTGGAGGAAAGGTGCTGAGTGCTCACAGCTGTAATGGAGGCAGGAGCCAGAAAATCAGGGCCTTGGTCTGTCTCATTGACCCAAGTCACACAGAGGACTGTAATCTGGGGACTGATTTGACCTTCAGTTCCCTCTTTTTTTTTTGGAAAACGAGGATGGAAAACCACCTTACTGGTGGTCCTGAAGCAAGTGGATAGTGATGATCACTAGGAAAGGATTGGTATACCATTGTGTTCAGAACAGACTTTAGATATGAAGTACAGACCTAGCTGCCTAAATAATGTTTAACAGTTTTCTAGATGTAATAATAGTTACAGCTTGTTTCCTGCCTGATGATATTGGTACTCTTCCCCATTTAAGGCGCTCTTTGACTGATGGGATTTATTGCTAACGACTTACTGACTTGGCTATTAATAATGTTTTACAATATATTAACAGAAAGGTCCCTTCCTGTAAACGTTTCTGATAAATTACTTTGAGACACCTTCTGTGTGCAGTGAAAAAAGCCTGTACTTTTTGGAGACTGTGGAGAGAGTGGAATTGGCTTGCTTAGCTATGAATGCCAGCGTATTTCCAGCAATGCTGGCTCCCTCAGGAGCCAGTCAGGAGGTGAAGACTATTTCTTTTCACTGAACTTTTCTGTAAAAAAAGGTTTTGATGTAAAGAAATTTGTATACCAGGTTCCTACTTCGCTCTGTGTTGCGAAAATGGACTGATCTACTGAAGCTGCTGTGATCCCAGGTGCCAAATACAGCCTTGTTTCAATTTTGCACCTGCTGATGCATTTATAAATCTAGAGCATAGAAGGGAGAGGTATCAGTGGAAGAGGTTCCTGGCATTCCTCGAGGAACCTTAGCAAATGTAAAGCGAAGATATGGAGTCTGGTGCAAGGTTTCCCATTGCTGTAGGAGGCCAAAAAACTATTTTCTTCTTTTCTCATCAGAACCAGCTCCTTGCAAAGATTGTTAATATTGGTGGGTGCTTCAACTGAACATTCCCAAGTGCTCTTCATATGCTGTCCCTTATTGCACTTGGTAATCCTCAAAACAAAAGATTTGGCTGTACAAGAAAGTTTTGTTTCCACTTCATTTAAATATACCAGGATGACCAAACGCAGAACTTTACGTAGGCCACTGTCTTTCCTCTATGTGATTCCAGAAGAAGCCCATACAAACTTACTGTTTATAGCTAAACCACATTAGTTCTATACTGTTTATAAAAAGACACAATTTGGTTATTCTCCAAATTAAAGAAAATGCCAGGAAATCTTGCAAGTGGGGTCTGTTACCTTTAGAGGTTGTATCCTCATATTCGCTGAGATTAATCGAGGACAGGCACCATTTAGAGAGCTTCACAACAACTACTTTAAGAGCAACAGATGGGATTTTGGTAGATGATGTGGAAAACTTGTTAGTAAATATTGTGGCAGCTGCAAAGTTTGGCAACTGATAGTATTTAAAATAAATGAGTGTCAGAAAGCCCTGCAAATTTAACCTTATATTTATTTACTTTTGAAGACGGCTATTTCAGATTTTCTTTTAAGAAAGGATTTCTGTGATAAAATTGCTCTGCTGCAGAAACAGTTAATAGTATTTATGTACTGAGGATTAGGTCAGTTAGAGGATAGCTGTTTTTTCTTTAGGATTTCAGGGGCTTGTGCTGGCTTGGGCTCGTGCGTACAGATCTTTCTTCCTGAAACTGTAAGGCTATTGCAGAGAGAGATTGCTTCATTTTGTTTGTTAAAGAACACTGATGTCTACTTCAAAAGAGAAAGATTAGGATTCAGCAGATAATTTATATCTTTCTATCAAGTCACACTGAGGATTCTGTCCTTAACTGACATGCTGTTCACAGGCTGTATCTTTTTTTTTTTAATTATTCATTGATAGTCAAAACATCAGCAGACTGCTGGTTGATAGACAAGCATGGGTGTTTTTGCCTGCACTTTTTCCCTGAACTGCATACTACAAGTTAAAAGAAGTTTTACCCAAGATTTAAATAAATCAAAAATGCTAGTGTTATGCTAGCATAACACTAAGTTAAGTTCCTATCTTAGAGTGTGGTTTCTTCTGTTGTATCATGAAATTCATGCAATGTTTCAATTCCTAATGGTGGTCCACAAATGTAACTTTTTAGCTGTTTCCTCTGAATGTTAAGATGTCAAGTTTGGTCCTTGGAAACCTATTTTGACATATGATGTAAAAAAGCTAGGCTTATTCATCTTGGTTGGAGGAAAGTTGGCATGCAGTGGCTCCAAATTAAAACAGAATATCAGGCATATGTGTGTTTGGGGTGGAAGAGGTCAGAAAAAGAGACATTCTTGTTTATTCCATGATGCCATTAGTCAAGTAGTGAAGTATATTATTGTGAGTTTCAGAAGTGACCACAGAAGCAGCAAATCAATAGTACTGCCTGAGATATTGGGAAATAAACCGGAAATGGAGTTATCGGCATAGCCTCCTGTCCCTTAGGCAATGCCTAAAAGATACTTTGTTTTGATTTTTTCATGAGCATTGGCTCTCACTGAAATGAAGATGAATCACTGAGTAGAACTGATGCCTCATGAAGCCTTTCCAAAAGCTTTATTAGTGCCCTCCAGTTTCAATGTGCCATATCCTTTGTTACTTATTTCTTAAATATTTCCTGGGCAGAAGCTGTTAGTTGTGCTTGGAGGCATGGAGGTCCTGCATTTGGACTGCTTTGTCGCTCCTGGAGCCTTCATATTTCTTGGGAAGTTCAAAGGCTCCCCAGCCTTACAGCATGGATTTCATAGAAGAGCAGGGACTTTATGCAAAAAGACAATTTCTTTCTATTGCACAGTGACATTTTGCTATAGGAAATTTTAAAAAGTAGATGGGGTAATGAAGTGAAAGTACTCACTTCATTTCTATCAGCATGAGTTGTCAGCCCAAAGATCAAAATTTGGCATAAGGAGCTTTTCTTTTCCACCCAAGGATCTCGAAAGGGGGGTGAGGCAGGGGGGAATAAGCATTAAAACAACCTTAATTTTATGATGGGGAGAACTGAATTAAAGAAGTGTTTTATGACTTTTCCATGTCAGGAAACAAGTAACAGATTTAAAAACAAAACTTCAGCTTCCAGCTGAATGTATTTTTTTTGCTGAAGCACAGCAACTTATTTGATAGCACCACATTACCAATGAACATATCTGTGGTAATTTTGTCAATTCAAATAATTTGTGATCTTGCACAAGTCGAGCCAAGATATTATAAAATGAGGAAAAACTACTCCAACTCTCTCTTCATTATTCCAAGCATCTGTCAACTTTTGGATGATCTGAGTAGTAAAACACAGTAATTCGGCAGCATTAGTGTGCACATGCTATGAAACAGTGGCATGGCAGATGAGACGCTGCCACCTGCTGGGTGTATTCTGCTAGTAAACATGATGCTGCTCTAATATGAAATCAAAATAGGCTTTTAAAACCAATTTAAAACTTTCATGCTCTTGCAGAGGAACCCTACCTAAGCTATGTTTTTTGTGTTTAACCTCACTAAAGAAGTTCACTCAAAAGCTGTGAAATCGGGATATCAGAGACTCAGCAACCCAGCACCCTGCAATAGCCTGGAAACAGATTCCTGATTCACAACCCGTTGCGTTGACATTGTGATAAATGCTTGCCTGACTTAAATCACTCTGATTTATTGCTGTAGACCACAAGCTTTGTTTTGAAAAGAAATTGCTACTGGTTTTCATCCAGTTTTCCATATGTTTTTCAGCTCAATGCAATGGCAAACAGAGCAGCAGGGAAGGGATATGAAAATGAAGACAACTACTCCAACATCAAGTTTCAGTTCATAGGCATTGAGAACATCCATGTCATGAGAAATAGTTTGCAGAAAATGCTTGAAGGTAATACTCTTTTTCATTGGAAACTAGAGGAAAGAATTGATCCTTCTGTCACACAAATCAGGGTAACTGCTCTGAAAACAGCAGCAGTGAAAACAGGTATGAAAAGAAATCTTTGCCTGCTGCAGCTGCATGCAGCTGCTGCTGGGACTTGGGCAATGGAGCATCATGGCAACTAGTGGTGATTTCCTAATTTTACAAACATTTTGTTTCATGGCTGAAATCCAAATTGCTTAAATGACAAAATTCATTTGACTTCAATGCACCTTACTGCTACTATATCTTTTTTTTGAAATTTACACTTCAATGGTAAAATGAGAAAAATCACAGCTGACTTTGAGGCTAGTGGAAAATACAGGATTTTTATTTTAAAGCTTAGAAAAACTATGGTTTGATTTTGCATGTGTAGAAGGCAGTCATGCATTTTAGACTGTGAATTTTAATAGATGCTTATTCATGCTCTGTATAGAACATGACACATCAGGGCTATTCATGAAATTCACAGTCAATGGGCATAACCATTCAGCACCTTCATAATCCTATCCAAATTAATAATAATTGCTTAGCAGTATGTAAACCAGCACATCTGTTCTTCTGTTTCATATTTGGAGTGCATGACTGTTTAGAGGTCATCTGGGAAAAGAGTAAGGATAAATAAGCCATCCTTGACCCTCAATGGCTTGTTGATTTTTAACAAGCAAATTGTAAATAGTGCTCACTCCAGTGTCTCAGTATTTCCTTCATGTACATCATCAACAACTATCACCTCCTAGATCAGCCTGATTTAGCTATTCTTGACTTGATGCTCTGTCCATGCTCTTTTATTCTTCATCTGTCTCCCATCAACTGTATGCAAATGTAAATTGGAGATCTAAGAAGGGTTTAAATTTTTCATGACAGAAAAGCTGTGCTCTAGTTTAAAATAAGAGCATTTTATGAAAACCAGCATTAAAATGTGATGCAGATAAAATGGTCAGTCTCTTCATGACATATTTTTACTTAATTCCTTGGTCTAAGGGTCTCAGGTAGGAAAACAGAAGGATTTTTAATTCACTAGGAAGTCTTGTTTGGCTAGGAGAGAGGCTGGGCCAATGAACAAGTCCCTTTATTTGTTCACATGAAGACCATCAAAGATAAAATAGTAAACAATCAGCCTGGCTGCATGGGGCAGTACTGTGTATACTTTTTGAGCCAAAAGTTCATGAGACTGGTCCATGGCCAAAACTTACATGTAACAAGATAATTTCTAATGCATTTAACACTTCAGGCTACTTGGGGAGCATAAATTCTTAGCATCTATTTTCAAATGAGCTTATGCTCAAAACATTTGCTTTTCTCCTAAGTTTTATATTTGCTATGTTGAAATCTCATATTTAGCAACTTGACTGATAAGATTAGAAACAGGAGTGAAGGGTGGAGGATCTTCCCATGACAGACTGCAGATATATATGATTTATTCAATATATGATTTTAAAGAACTTCAATGCTGAGAACATTAGAACAAAATTTATTATTCAGTTTTCCATTGGAAAATGCACTTATATTAGGACTGTGTTCATTTCAATGATGTTTCTTTAGGAAAAAGCTGAAGAAATTAATTTATACTTATAAAAATGTCAATGTTTTCTTTCAGTAGGTAAAAAAATGTTGTTTTCAGGTTTATGTTTTTACTGACTATTCTACCAATTTTATCTTAACTTTAACATGTATTTGTCCTCATATAATGTTAATTTTTGGCAAATTATATCAGCGTTATAAAACGATTCGATTTATAGGATAAAATTTTTTTCAGAATATGCAAAAAATGTTGAGATTAGACTGTACTCTGGAAGTAAACCGCAATTCCTTTTGGAAAAAGAAGGTTTTACTTTTTTCTCTGCTGCCTCATACTGCTTAATATAGTATAGTTTGTTTTTTTTTCATTTAAAGAGAGGTATATGTGAAGATCCCTGGGACAATTTTGATTCTATGCACAACCTCCTTGAAATCATTTTTAATATTAGAAGGACATGTTACAGAAGGAGTTTTCTCATAAAGATTCAAGGGCTGAGCGAGGCTGCTATTTGGCATTTGTGATGGGATGGGCTGTGCCGCACATCCAGGGGCCAGCCAAGACTTGACCTCCATTTGTTGTGCATTGAGGTGCTGACCCCACATGCTTCCTGTCTGTAAAGAGTAAATGGGAGCTTCTCCTCCCCTCATACCAGGAGCAGTTGTTGCTGATGTAGGAGCAGCCCTCTGATCCTTGGACTTCAGTGACAGATCAGCCAGTAAGAATGCCTGAGAGTTTGGCTCACAGCAATTATTCCTTCCTCTGCTTATGGCCTTCCTGCCAGAAATGAGAGAACTGGTCCAGCATCCCCCTGTGGTACTTTTGCTGGTGGAAGAGGCAGTTTCCAACATGTGTCCTGTTTCCTCCTCTCCTCCTGCGAAATGGGCACACCACTGGATTTCTCAGAGCTCTCCCCAAGGGCTCTTGATTTTCCTGTGCCTACACCATGGATGCACCAGGCCTTATTTCTCAGATTTTGGTACCTTTTCTTCTGAGATGGAAATGCCTTTTCCCCTTGGGATAAGCCTCATAATTGAATTCATAATCAAACTCAGTATTGAAGGTCCAGATCTGTTGCCAAAATCATGTGAAATATACAGTGTCTGCCTTTAGGACAGTGTGAACTTTGCTCAGTGAAGTGGTCAGTAAATATTGACTCTAATTGGGCAGCGGGAAGGAGCAAAGCACTGTTTCAGCCTTACCTTGGGCTTTTGTAAACAGAGACAGCAGCTTCAGCCAGAATTCAGCCACTAAGTGGTCATGCTTCCATCTGCACAGCAGCATTAATCATATGAAAAGCTGTTTGCTTTCAGTGCTGCTATCTCTGCATCTTTATAAATATCCTTCAAAAATTATTTTTAAAATAACCATCTGGAAAAGGCCTTACATACAAACATTGTAAGACTTTGTATGGATACATTAGGCCATTTTATTTTTTAATTAAATGGAGTTAGGACAGTCCAATAGACCAGATATGGTATAAAATCTGACTTTGGCTTATAAAATTAAATTTCAATTACAACGAAGGAAACTAAAATTATCCCAGTGGCCATAAATAACTGAGTCTTTTAAGATTTCTGAACCACAAGAGACCTACTAAGACATTAGTTATTGACAGATCATACATTAACGTGGTAAAACCCATGACATTTTTCACTGTATTCTGAAAATGAATTTCACCGGCTAATATTTTTTCCTTAAAAGCAGTATGACACTACATGGATCAAAAGAAAGGTATAGTCTATTTATGGGGTGAATTTAGTATCTCACTGTTGAAAACAGACTGCACCAAATTTCATTGAGTATTTGTTTGCTGCTGGGCTGAGGTATTTGATTTAGATTCCGATTCCTCTTTTTTTCTTCTAATGCCTCAAACTTTCTAATATTAAAAGTTAGACACTTGGATACAGCCAAACCTAAACTTAAAGTAAAAACTGAGAGATTATAATTTTTTCCTTCAAACATGGCATAGAATTTGGAAGGTTTTCAGGAAAATATTTTCCTTGATGAATTATGGCTTGTCCTCACCATCGGAATACTTACTCTAAGTGAGGCTTTAGTAAGCTTTCATTCTGGGATGGAGAAGTGTAGAGTGAATTGCTTTAATTCAACCACCATCATCTATGGTGATGCTGGGAGTAGAAGGCAGTGGCTGTCTGCCTGTCTGCCAGTAGAAATCATGTGCTTTCTGTTTCCAAGCCCTCATTATTAAATACACAAGCCCCTCCCAGGAGTTCGAAAACTTCACTCCCGACACAATTTTGGAAAATCTGTGCTTCACAGAAGGATGCATTTGGTAAACTATTTGCAATAGACTTTATGACAGCTTCTCTTTTTAACTTAAATCAACATACTGGGTGAAATTTGACCAAGCCCTGTTTCTTAAATATATGTGCTTTTTCAATGGTGAGGTTTGACTGTGAATTAGTCATTCTTTTGAAAAGATGCATGTTTTACACAGGAGATGTCTGAAGAAGAGATAATTCTGAGGCTGAACAGTCAGTGAAGCTTAAGGGACTCTAATTACTGTACGTTTAAAATGTAGCTTATTTTGCAGTTTGTGAGCTGAAATCACCTTCAATGAGCGACTTTCTATGGGGCCTAGAAAATTCTGGCTGGCTGAAGCATATCAAAGCCATTATGGATGCTGGCATTTTTATTGCAAAGGTAAAGTGTGTAAAATGAGATCAGAACTTGCAGTAACCAGACACAGAAAGTGAGGACCAAATTCGCTGCTTGTGGGTAACTTCTTTTATCTCTTCAGTGATGTTATACCTGAAAATAGCCCATCTTGCAATGCATCATGTATGAGGAGAGATGTTTCTTAGATGCTGTTGTGTGGACCTTTTGCTAATATGATAAAAAAAGCTTGTGTCCTTTTGTACTAAAGCCTCTACTAGCCCTTAACTTGTTATGCCAGGCATTTGAATGTCCTTACTTTACTCCCCAGCAGTGATTGTTACAGTTCCTTTCCCTATTTCCCCTGCCTCCTCCACTGGTTTCTGGACATTATCTTTGTTGAAGGTTTCTGGTATTATATAAAATTAACTAATGTGTTATCCCCTCTGAGTTATCAGGCAACCAACTAAATTCACCTCCTGGACCAATTCCTGTATATTGCCATGGCCAAACTCTCTAGCAGTTTCTACTCTTATATAATTGAGAAATATTCCAGAAAACAGTTGTTGGCTTTAATAAGAAATTACTTCTCCTAATCCCACCCAAAGTAATGCAGATATTTGTCATTTACCAACAGTAGCTTTAATTTTATTACTTCCTTCCTTGTACTCTGTCTTTTACTGCTATTTTTGAGATTACTATTACAATTTCTTATAGGGCATTTTATTCAAATGATGTGCTACATACAACTGTATGATACAACTGTGTGATGTGCTACATACAACCATATAGATAAAACTTCATGGATTTCCCTCCTCACTAACTGCTTGTTTCTCTTGCTCTACTACCTTTCATTAGCTAATAGAAATCAGGTCTTTAGCTTTGCCAACTTTTCCCCAGTGGCTAGTCTTAAAATTCTGTCAAAAAATGTTATCCTTTATTGATAAGCTTGTTAGCCTTGTGCCTCCTCGGACATGCATTTTGAACCATTCTTATTTGTACAGTTCCCAGTTCTTAGTTCTTGGTCCTCTGCCCACAGGGCTTCTATTTTAGTAGAATTAACTTGTCTCTTGAGATAAACATAGAAAATTTATTATTATTCCTCATTCCCTATTAAGCCCAAACTAACTTAAATGTTTATTTTTCTAAGCAGTGTCTTTCCTAACCTATTTTATTTTCTACTTCCTAAATTTAGTTCTCTTTAGAAATGACAAAGGCCAAAACCTTTAGAACTAAAAAAAACCCCAACAACCAACCCTCAAGTTCTAAAAATAATGCAACACCAGACCAGAGAACTTAGTATCATCTCTTCTTTATGTGTTTATGCATAAAATGGGATCCTCTCTCACCAGTTTTTACATTAAAGATACTGATAAAATCTCGCTTATTAGATATGGAAGTTTACCACTACCACAGGTTTCCCCACAGATCTTTGCAGTATGTGCAATGCAGTGTACTGTAATAACATCCAGGCTAGTGCTGGCATTGGAAGCAAAAATTGCCCTTATTGACATTACCATCAAGATGAGAAATTAAGAGCCATATTTTAAGTGTGGTGATTCTGTTACTGGTATGTGAGTTAGAGCATTAACTCCATCTGAATCTGCTGTAGGCACTTGTCCGCTCTGACAGATTGATGTATTCAATTGAAACAAATCCCATATCCTCCTATAGTGGGACTTAAACGGGTGATGCTCCACCACCATATTGCACAGGATGGAATGAATTAAGACTTTTCAAATAAAAGGAATAACACGCAACATTATTCAAGAATAATTGCAGAATAAAAAATTAACCAAGTTTCCCAGTTCCCATATTAATACTCTATGGCGCTACCTCACTGTTCCCCTCTTACCATTGTCTTCCTCCCTGCTTGTGAAATTTCTGACTTTTTCTGTGTCCTTAGGCTGTGGCTGAGGAAGGTGTGAGTGTGCTTGTTCACTGCTCTGATGGCTGGGATAGGACAGCCCAGGTTTGCTCTGTAGCAAGCCTTCTATTGGATCCATATTACAGAACTATGAAGGGATTCATGGTAAGCAGGTTATTTTACAGAGTAAATAAAGTAATATGGCATCACTTAAGATTAATATCTTTTAATGGGAAATGGGAAATAAACTTTCCTTAAATATACCTTTTTTTTTTTTTTTAAGTAGGAAGGCAGGTTTCTATCCGTCCACAATAAAGTCTTCCAATTTCTGTATGAAGTGTTATCAAAGGTGGGGATCAGTTGGGCACCTTTTTGTTTTTTTCCTAACTTAGACCAAGAAACTTTCTTGCAGTCCAAGGAGCTTTTGTGCAAGCAAGAATTTGTATTCATTTGCAGTAAACATTATAAATTTGAGTATCAGAAGTGTGTTTTCTAGGCATTAGATTGCAATGAGCAGCTATGTTGGAAAATCTGTTCCTTTCCCATGTATATCAGCAGTGGTAAAGCATCTAGGAATGCTTATCAAGTTACTGGTCACATGTTAAAAAGATGTTTGAGACATTTATAAGTTCTTTTTAGAAAGTGAGGAAGCAAGCTAATTGAAGTTGTGCTGAAATACTGGCATCCTATTTGCATCCATGAAGAGTGCTGCTTTCCCTGAGCTTGCAGCAGTGCTCATCACTCATTGTTTTTCTGCTAATTCTGAAAATTATTTAGGATTCTAATACTGCTTGCTTACATCATTCTTGCTTGTCACTGCTTATTCTAAGAATTAATTGGGATTCCAATGCTGCTTGTTTACACCACTCTTCTGCCTGTTTCAACATGTGTCGACTCTACTCCACAACACTGAACACAATATTCTCATTTTAGGTGTTAATTGAAAAAGATTGGGTTTCCTTTGGTCACAAATTTAATCACAGGTAAGGTGGTGGTAAGGTTTTCATATATATATATGTGTGTGTGTGTGTGTGTGTGGTTTTCATATATATATGTGTGTGTGTGTGGTTTTCATATATGTGTGTGTGTGTGTGTGTGTGTTTACGTTGTCAGTATCTGCTGCCACTCCAGTTTTACTTCTTCACTGCCTTACAAAGCATATCAACAGAATGCCCTCAGGAAACTGCCATACCTTTTTCTCCTACTATATAATTTATCTGTCTAGAAAAGTCAAAGGGAAATATTTTTGTATCAATCTTTTCTTGTATCTGCACTCCAAAACCACTGTTGGGAATCCCGAGTGCTGGTCTTGCAGTTGCTGTGAGCACTGAGAGGTCCATGTCAGTGAAAAGTAGTATGTAAGTGGCTTGCAAAATCCCTTTGGACTCCAGCAGATCTTTCAGTAGTGCCAAGGCTCCTCACATAAGTCCCTGTTCAGCAAAGTCTACATCTTCCAAGACAGTACTTAATCTTAGGCATGCCTGTGAGTTATCTCTTACATAAAACATACTCTTCCTATTACACTCTGTTCTAACAAAACCAGCAGAATTTGTTCAGAAACATCAGGCAAAGTGAAGTGGAAAGTAATTTATTTGGGCAAGTTATTTTGAACATCCATCCAATGTAAGTGCTGTAATGTTTGAAGACTTTATATGTTTAAACATGGAAAAATATTCACATTTTCTTTCTTTTTTGAATTTCCTTTTAGTTTCTGTAAAAATAAAAAGTGCAATTTTTATATTGGTGTTTAATTACATTATATAGCTTGATTTGAATATAAATTTGTTATAGTTTCAAAAAACACAATAAAGCTTTCAGGAAATCTGTGCAGCTCCATACCACCTGTGAAATTCCAGCAGGAATTACTTCATTTAATATGATACTGTCAGTTGTCTATGATTATCAGTGGTAAAAGATACTATGAAATGCAATAACCACTGGTAGCTTTGGTTTGCTGTGCAGTGTTGCTATATTTTCTTGGATAATAATATCAGAAGTTTCAAGTTTAGATGTTTAAGGAATTCCACTCTGTTGGCATGTATATATATATACATATATACATAAATACACACACATGACAAGAATAATAATTGATTGAAAATGCTTCTTCCTATTATGTAGACTTATATTTTTTACCTCTATGTGTTTTATATTTTCAGGCTCCTTTTCTTCATTGCAAGTGGTTCCAAGAGGCATTTTTATGGATAGAAAATTTGATGTTCACTTGACAGTTACAGCATGTAAACATTTCCCACCTTCTAAAAATTTCACCAAGAGAGGGCAGCTTTAACCTGTTTTCTGATGAGGTTATTCTGTACCTCTCCTGCTGCTTTCTGGTTTGGGGAATGGTCTGCTATTAAGAGACTGTCTTAAGATACACTTTTGTCATTAAGTCATAGCAGTCATTCTTATGATGACATATTACTGTGGTATAACTTTATATTAATAGCATTAAAGCATGGCTATGCAGCAGTCAGCTGTTTGTAGGGGGAAGGTAACAAAAGACACCCATAAAAGGCTTTTTTTGTTAGTAATTCTGCCTTCATTCTACTCCATGATTCTTGCATCACTTTTGTAAGTAAAAAAATATACTGGTAGTTGAGATTTTAGAAATGAATGCCTATGATGTAAGCTGCACACTAGAAGTGAGGAGTTTGTTTTCATTAGTGTTAATTCAGTTTTCCTACAAGAATTCAGGTTTTAATTAAATGTATCTTGTCTCGTTTCAGGTATGGCAATTTAGATGGTGATCCAAAGGAGATATCACCTGTTATTGACCAGTTCATTGAATGTGTTTGGCAATTAATGGAACAGTTTCCCTGTGCCTTTGAATTCAATGAGAGATTCCTCATCCACATACAGCATCATATCTATTCTTGCCAGTTTGGGAATTTCCTGTGTAACAGCCAGAAGGAGAGACGAGAGCTGAAGTATGAAAGTAGCATATTATGCATTTGATTTCTTTAGTAGCATATTTACATATGGGGTCTGTGGCTGGTGGTGTATTGAGGAGTCAGACATTAACCTGCAGTCTGACTCCAGTCTGATATTAACATCCAGTCAGCATGTATGTGTTTTCATAAGGCGTAGGGTGCCTGTTGTCTTCTGGCAACACAGATTAATACCACAAAAAGTTGATCCTCTGCAGTGTAGCTCTGCTGGGAGTGTAATCCATGGTGTGCGTGACAGGGATTAGTGAAAACAGACAAGAGCATTAGTCCTTCAGCCATGTGGGCCTACCTTTACTGCAGCACTAACAACATACAAGGCAAGCTGTCCCTGTAGCTCTAATATAAGATGATACTAACTCTAGTTAAGTTCTCAGTTCAAGAGTTACTGCTCTTCTGTGTTTTAACCTGTCTTTGGATCTCAAGTCAGGCCATTTAGTTTTGTTCTCTCAGGTACTTCCTCATGAACAGCCTTTTTGTCTGATAGCCCTCCCTAGGACTGAGTCAGCAAAATATCCGTCTGCTGCCCGGCCCCAAAGCAATTATGAATTAATCTTCCTGCCCTTAGGCCCAAACAGAGACAGCATCATCATTCCCGGCAATGCTGATGTTTGTATCCATTTCCTGGGGCCCTGGGTCCTCAATACAGGATGATATCCATCACTTTTCTCGTGTACCCTGATCATGTCAGCAGTAGCAATGAGACGAAGGTGGCAATTACTGCTGGCTGCTGCCATTTGGTCCCTTTCACTGCTTATGTGCAGAGTAGCCACAGTGCCACAGTCCATTTAAAATCAAAACCTTCACAGATCATCATATCCCAAGACCCAATTGCATAAGAAATTGCAGTTCAGTGGGGTAGGAGTGCTTTTAAATGTGGGCATTCTTTTGGTGCAGAGATCAGCCTGAAAGCTTACTTTATGCAAGTGATCCTCTTCACCTAGCAAAGGAACCAGTCTCTCCACCTTTTCTCTCCAGCTGCTCTCGCTTCATGGGAAATGGATTGGATTTTGCCTTTCGTAATCAACAAGGGAATATGGGTCTCTGTTTCTCTATACTTCTTACTTAAGTCTGATTTTGGTAAGGAAGCTGATTGTAAATGGGGAGTACAGAGGACTAGAATGCTCCATCTAAGCTTTAGCTATTCCTGAACTGTAGCAGACACTTTAATATTTTTTTTTTTTTTTCAGAATCCAAGAACGAACATATTCATTATGGGCTCACTTGTGGAAAAATCGTGCTGATTACCTGAATCCTTTATACAGGTCAGACCACAGTCAAAACCAAGGGACCCTGCACCCACAGATAGCTCCATGCAACTTCTTGTACAAGTAGGTACTATCACTTGCTACAGAAAATCGTAGGATGCGTTAGTACAGAACAGTGACTTCATATACAAGTATTTCTCATTCTGTAAGGCAGTTTATAGAGAGTAAATTCAATCTCAGATACAATGTGTTTGCTCCTTGTGTGCTCATAGTCAGCAAACACCTCTGCACGATTCCACAACAGAGTATTAGTCTGAAAAGAAGCTTAAGATTAAAGCTATATTGATAGTTGTGTGTCCTAATTTCATGGTTACTCACTTCTTCCACCGAGATATGCCTCTTTCAATTCTGTTCTTGTCTGTGATTTCTAAATTTATAGTTGCTTTAACTTCTTCCATCCCAAGATTTTTTGATGTTTATTTGGATCAATTGGTGTCAAAAATAAAAAGGATCTTTTCAAGAAAAGATTGCTAATAGATTGCTAAAATGAGTGTTTAGTAAAACAAAAAGGAGACTTTCCCCATGTTGTTGTTATACCTCAAAGTAAGTTTTACTTGATATTTTTTAAAAAATGTAACAAAATATCATCCTTTTTGAAACATTACTATTGACATTCTGACTTAGTTGTGCCATTAATCTTAACACATTTAAGGAGAACTTTAATAAAAATTCATGAAAATTGTGATTTAAGTAAAACTGATCAGTTTGTTTTCCAGTTGCAAGTAATAGCACCTGTTAAAAACTCAATAAAAATCCTAAATTACAGAAATTTAATTCTTTCATGTCTACTATACCAGACTTAAAAAGAATTTAAAAATAGTCATTAATCGTATTCTTTGGGAGAGTGGGATTTATAAAAGAAGTACTGATACAACAGATCCTCCAATGGATGAGTAATCCTGTTGATTTTAATGGAATTATTTGGCTGCGTAAAGATTTCCAAGCAGGAGCTATCAGATGATAAACTTAAGGGGGAATGTGATTAAATAGTATACTATTGGGATAGGAATAATAAGCCACCAATGAGCACGCACGTGCTCCAAAAATATCTGTCAGCTACTTGGCTAGACAGCTGCAGCTGATGGCAGGGCTCAGCTACTTAACCTGTCTGCTGAACTGGTTACACTCAGAGTCTGGCTGTGGCCATAGTGTCAGGAAGGCAGAAGACAGAAGAGCCCTAGAGTAAGCTAGAGTCCTTTCCTCCTGAAAATGAAAAATCAACTTAACTGTTTAACTAAAGGTTTGTCAAGTAATTTCACAGAACAGGAAGAGAAATTGCCAATGTATATAATTGCTTCGTCCATAGGCAGTTTAAAATGTCAGTTTAAATTGTAAGAGAACAGAACACCATACTGGTTTTTACTCATGATTTTTAACCCTTTTTTACAGTGGACCCCCCTCCCATTAACTATCTACACCTCTGTCATGGCTTCAGACTACAACCTCTCCGCTCCCCCAGCCCCAGACAAAAACAAGCATACAGAATCTCAAAGTCGACTTCATGAGAAGTTAAACAATTGAGAACTAGGAATATGAAAAACTCGTCTTTACCCTTGGCTGTTTTATAAGTACCATTTTGCTGGAGCCCATAGTGTAGAACAACAAAATAATACAAAAAAAACCCACAAAATTTTGCATTCAGCTATGTGATCTAAGTCAAAGCTACATTCATCTTTCTTTTTATTACATATCAAAATTGGTTCAAGGTGCTTATGTCCACAGAGTTGCACCTTCAGGACAGAGCAAATGCAAATGGACAATGAACCTTGCCAAATACTCTATGAATTTATGTGTATGCACTCATAAGCCATGGATGGATCATTTAGAACAATGTCTGAGGGAAAAAAAAAAAAAGAAAAAAAGAGTGTGCATTTATGTCTCATGATGCTACCTCACTAAAAGAAAATTCCTGACATTCCCATTAATTCCAGGTTCTGGAGTGGTATGTACAACCGCTTTGAAAAGGGGCTGCATCCTCGACAGTCAGTTACTGATTATCTGATGGCAGTGAAGGAAGAAACTCAGCAGCTGGAAGAAGAGCTGGAGGTCTTAGGAGAGGTAATAAACACTTGAGCTTGATACCCCAGACTTGGTAACTGATGATAAATTAAACCCAATTCCATATGCTGCGGAGTCACCTACACACTAATCCTTTTCTGGAATGAGGATGTCCACGTGTCATCTTTGTTTTCAGATAAATTGTCACGAATGTTTTGCATTAAGACACAGAAGTGGTCTTTTATTCTTTAAGGATGAAATTTTACCTGTGTTGGTGCACAAGTACTACTGAAAGTGAGTTTAATCCTTCTGTAATTCAGAAGGAATTGTAGCTCAGAAGGCTGCTGTAAGTCAGCGTTGGTTTGTGAGAAATTGTGCACTTCTCATACTCCACAGACAGTTTTAAAGGGTGCTAGTGGGGTTGGGCTCTGAACTTATATTTAAAAAAAAAAAAAGGCAAAGACATAGAAGAGGATTACTGGTCCTAAATGTGTGCATGTAATACTGTTTCCTTTATTTCAGCGATTGGCGAATCTTCAGAAATCACAATTAGGTGATAATAAAGTCAAGAGTAAGCAACAAGACCGAAGCAAACAGTTAAGGCTGTCTACTTCCAACAATAGCTTAGCTAACACTCCCCAGGAGTATAGCAACGATCTGAAGTCATTCCCATCCCGGAGTCCTTCACAAGGGGATGAAGAAGATTCTGCTCTGATTTTGACACAGGACAACCTGAAAAGTTCTGATCCTGACCTCTCAGCCAACAGTGATCAGGAGTCTGGTGTGGAGGACTTAAGCTGTAGGTCCCCAAGTGGAGGTGGCTGCTTGCCTAGTGAAGACAGTGGCAAGGACTCTGATGAGGCTGTATTTCTGGCAGGCTGAAACACCTTCACAGCAGCAAGGATCCAGATGAAGTTGAGTCTTACACAGTCTGGAATGACATCTTTTCATCAGATGAAGAATGGAAGTGGTCTGTAGCCTAAAGAAATAATCCAAAGAAAGGGAACTGTGCAATTGTGTAAGTAAAGATCTAAGCAGAACAAGTTCATTAATTTTAAGACATAATGCTAAAAAAGGTAATATCTGCTGTTATATTTAGTTAAGCTAATGTGATATTTGTTTTATCAATGCTGTACATAATTATTCCTTACTTTGTACATTTCCATAATTATATATTGTACAAGATAATAGTTCTTCTCCAAAGATGTGAAATTCCAAAGTACTCTCTTACACAAGGTTGAAGATGCATTAGTGTTAGCCTTACTGGTGAAGCTGTCAAAACTTATTTTTGTAGAGTTCTTCTGCCTTCAGACATATATTTTTTTTTTCATAAGAGGTGTTAAATTTTGAATTCAAACAATTATTTTGCATATCCTCCTACTAGAATTCTTTTCAGCAAAGTAAAACTAACAAATTGACATGCTGGCTAAGGGGACAAATGAAGCTTTGATCCTGATAAAAAAATCCTTTAGTAAGCAGTTTCTGCTGCTGCATGTGAATTCATCCCATTTGTACTTGGTTCTCAAGCAGTGTTGAAAGTTCAGTAGTTTCTGTGACCAAAACTCAAAGGAATAGAACAGTATTCACACAGCCTTTGTGCTAAAGCATCCCTTTATAACAAAAGGTACATTAGGCAGTTTACTCTAGCCTCTTTATGTTTAGTTCTCAAGTTTGTTTCTATCTTACCCTAGTTCCAAACCACCTACCTAAAACTCTAAAGGTAGTAAAATCCTAAATTCTCCAGCCTATTCTGATTCCTACTTGAAAATGTTTTATTTGAGTCGAGTGAGGTACACATACAGTGCAGAGGATAGAGAATATAAAACCACTTACAAAAATCACTTACGAAAGCATCACTTTGAATTTCTAAGTAAAGGAAGGTTGTTATGCCCATAAAGGAACTGTTATAAAGAATATTCCTTCCAAATTCTGTTGTTCAAAATAAACTAACCATTAGCAACCAGTTTTTCTGTCTTCACACAAAATTTCCCTTTTAGTATTTGCCAAACTGAAGAGCATGGCAATACTAATTTAAGAACTGATTCAACATTTACCAGGAAGTTTAATCTTGTTATCATATTTTTAAGAACAGGAGTAATAGTTTTCATAATCATCACTACAGAGGTAAACAAGTGAAAAATGTTTAAAATTTGGAATGTCTTGAAACTCACTAAAAAGGTGGCCAAATTAAGCTGCAATTCTTCCAAGTTTCTTTTTTATTTTTAAATATTAGTTAAAGCAAGCAGTTAAAAATATAGTTCACATGACTGCTCTTACCTGCTTGGAGACAATGTGGTATTGAACTCTAGTAAAGCAAAGTGGTAGTAATGTTAAGTTTACTTTGATTGCATTTCACATTACTCCTCCAAATACAGACTTACAGACAGAGTTGTATTATATAAATATGCTTCAATTTAGAATGGTTAGATTTTATTACATTTATGGAATGGTTTTCATTCTGTTCTGTGAACTTACATCATTAAAAGTGAGTATGTAAACTTCAGTATTATTAATATCCTCCTAAGGGAGCTGCTGTCTTTGAACAAATAATTCCTAACAGCAAGGTTTATCTTAATGTTATAGTGGAAAGGCCAGATCCTCAATTTGATAAATCCCTATAGCTCAATTCAAATAAATACAACTCTAAGGTATACTCTGTTGAGAATCTAGCCTTCTGTTTTTAATCTTTATGAATTTTTAATGAATGAAATCCCTGATTTTAATTGCACTTTTAAAAATGTTTTGTATTTTGAACGTAGCCTGTAAAGTTTATGTTATTACAGACTTTGAATGTACTTTCTCAAACTAAAGAAATATGCTGCAAAGTCAGAAACGAAAACAAACCACACAAATATTCTACCTAAAAAGGAGTTTGAAAATGGGCAGTGTTATTGCACATCTTTAAAATATAAAATTATATATGATACTGTGTCCTATTAGACATGTCCAGAAATAAATGCAGAACAGCAAGATACGCAAATTCAAAGCACTCTTTGTGTCGCTTATGCAACTCCATGTAACTAGCTTTACAACTAAAATATTAACATATTAACATTTTCTTTATCAAGCCTTCACTTAGCAGCCCTCTGTGATGTGTCTTTCAGCCTTTGAAATTTTGCATTAGCTGCTACTGTTTTCACTGTACTGCATGTATTTGTGGCATTATCAGGCTAATGAGAAACACTTTCAAATAAACACTTAGGTGTAATTTAATTTTATTTCACACCAGTGAGTGAAAGAAAGGTTTGCTATCCTGATTTGTGTACTGTAGTTTTTCATTTACTCAAAAGTCACTTTGCCACTAAGAACAGGGAATTTTTCTATCTTCCCTACTTTGATACTTTAATCCAGTAGTTTTAAGCTGTGGAGAAATCTACAACTGATAACTAAGAAAACCAAGACTCTCAACAATTGTGTTAATAATATGGAAGCATGTTACAGCCCTGTATTTATTTTTCTTAGGAAATGCAAACCAAAAAAGATTGAGAAAACCATACAATGAACTACACTGATTTCTTGTAGCCTTGTGCTGCAAACCTTTGCAAATTTGGCATAAGCCCACTGTAATTTAAAATATGACACAGATGAACATAGCTAAACTGCTGAAAAGGCCTCTCTAGGTTCAGGCTGGTCTTTAGTACGAAAATGTGCCTCTAAAGGACACTGAAGGGAATGGGATCAAACAGCTGAAGCCTTCTCTACAGAATATCACCATCTGAAGCACAGAAGGAAAACCTATTCACTACTGCTTTTATTGGTAGCTCTGTACAAGAGAGAAAAAGGTGATAAACTGCTAAAAATCTGAGAAATAGAATTAAAAAGTTGGAGGGCACAACTCAGAGCAAATGATATCATTAGAAGTAAGAAGAGAAAAAGAAAATAAGTAAAAGGAGGGAGGCAGGGAAGGAAAGCTCTTTGTAAAATCAGCAAGTAAGGCAGGGAACCACATTCTTTGAAGACGGGGCAAGCCAGAGCACAGGTCCACATAGCATAGAATATGTTTAATGACACAAACTAATAACAATTAAGCCCCAGCAACAGCTAAGATATAGAGACTTTGCAATGAAGATAAGCATGTCATCACTGTTGACTAGCTAACTTGATGCTTTCATGTGGATGTTGCCCTGATCTGCACAGAGTTCTCAAGTAGATCACAAACATAGTCAAGGTCAGGGGCTGTTTCTGGGTGCAGGCTGAAGGCTGAGTGTGGCTTTTAGGTTGGTTGGTCACTCTTATGCTCTGTAGTGGAGAGACAGGTAAACACCACAGTGATTGAAAAATCCTCCAAGGACAGGAAAGTCACTGACAGTTCATTTAGGAAGGGAGAAACATGTGGTGGGTCATCAGAGTACTAAGACTCATGAAAAATCCACCAAAGATCTAGAGACAAGCGTATTGCAAACCCTGAATTCAGAGAGGCCAGAAACACTGGCAGAGTGGGGCAATAAGAAGGTAAAATAAGCATTTAACTTTACCTGTCATATTTAAATTGCCAGTAGAGCACCTGAAAACAGCAAATCAAATCATGCTAAACCTTAAAATAAAATATAGTGGTCTTTTAATATAAATTATTCTGGAAAGAAGCTAATGAAACCTTAGAGGTCCACCAGAATTGTGACTGAGTTCAGGCAAGGACTCACTTTTTTAAGTCTGCTGGTTGCCAAGGTTTTTTGGATGAATTTATTCCCTTTGTGGAGACTAAAGAACACAGTTATTTTATGTAAAGTATTTCCTTATTATTAATATACTAGCTTTCTTCATAGCTTATTACTGTAAGTGTGATGTCTACAACGTATCTGACCAAAACAAGGTGCTTACAAAAGCCAGAGATCCAGTATGGGTTTTCAAAGCCTGTTTCAGTGAAGGTGGCTCCAAGAATTACTGCTATTGAGAGAGTTAAACATGAAAAGCTCACATCACTACTCATGAAGATATTAAGTTTCTCCTTGAGCAGCTTACTGCATCCATTTCCAACATAATTCTGTATCCACTCAAGAAGTCCTGCAATGTCAAATGCCTGACTCTATCCATAAGTTAGATGATTACAAGCTATATAAAAATCCCAAAGCCTTTATTTGTAAGTTTAACATATTACAGCATTTACTGTTCAGAATAAAGACACAATTACGGCTGATAACTTTGTTGTCAAGAGTTTTAATTCAGTTTGACCTGAAGGTCTCTTAAATCTCTCTTTTAGAAAGATTTATGCTAGTCTTTGAAGGGGGTAGCAAGAATTTGGACATGAATAAAACTGTAAGATTTCTAACTAATACATTTGGTCCAGGTCCAAAGCAGCAAAACTGCAGGATTATGTACAGAGCAAACAGAACTATAGTACATACTGCTTAGAACTGACTTTACCATAATAGTCTCTTGCTTGCAGTGGTGCCTAGCACAGCAGAGTGCCTCCTGAGGAAGTTTGCTGATGACGCAAAGCTGGGAGGAGTGGCAAATACTCCAGAGCATTGTGCAGCCCTTCAGAAGGACCTCAATAGGTTGGAGAGATGGGCAGAGAGACCTTCTGAAATTCAACAAAGGTAAATGAAGAGTCCTCCACCTGAGAAGAGTATTTCTGGGCTCCTCAGTACAAGAGAGACATGGAGCTCCTGAAGAAGGCCCAGCAGAGGGCAACAAAGATGATGAGGGGACTGGAGCACCTCAGTGATGAGAATAGGCTGAGGGAGCTGGGCCCGTTCAGCCTTCAGAAGAGACGACTGAGAGGGGACCTCATCAATGTCTGTAAGTATCTGAAGGGAGGGTCTCGAGGATGGAGCCAGGCTCTTCTCGGTGGTGCCAAGCAATAGGACAAGAGGCAATGGGGAGAAACTGATGCACAGGAAGCTCCAACTGAATATGAGGAAGAACTTCTTTACTGCACAGGTGACCAAGCACTGAAGAAATTGACCAGAGAGGTTGTGGAGTCTCCCTCAGTGGAGATACCTAAGAACTGTCTGGATGCAATCCGGTACCATGTGCTCTAGGATGCCCCTCCTTGAGCAGGGAAGTTGGACCAGATAACCCACTGTGGTCCCTTCCAACCTTACCCATTCTGTGGTCCTGTGATTTAGCTGCAAGATCAGGTACTGAAATTAAGCAAACCCCAGGCTCAATTAGCACTTACAATACAGAATGTGCTTCCCCCCAAAACTACTGCAACATCAGAGACAAGCCATCTTCTTACTCTTATTTCTTGCTCACTGAGTTCTCTTTCTCACTTGGCAGAACACCTGAGGGTGACATAGCGCAAGGCTCCCAAGAAACAAGTCACTGTACGTAGCCTGTTATTCCAGACTGCTTAAAAGTTCGCTTGACACATTTCAAAAGCCTTCAGAATATGCATCTAACAGCAGCTGCCGTTCTCTTACACTTTACAGGGAGTTGTTTAAAGATGGATTTACACCTACACTCCATATTTTAGCAAAATAATGTAAGGAATGCACTCAACAGTGAGCTACCAGCATGCTAGAAGCAAAAAAACCTAACTCTTGACAGTGTTATCACCATTCTACTAAGTCTTTTGGTGAAGGTGCAACCAGTGTAGGACTAAAGAAAAAAAAACAAACCTCAAGGAGAAAATACAAACCTGCATCAGCTTGGCCTTTAAAGCCAGAAAAGCCAGAAACAGGCTGGCTTTTCTTGGATGTGATGGGATTCCTGCAGCTAACCCAACATTATTGAATACAGAGACTTTTGTACTTCTTTTCCAGAGGATGGGTTTGTGTCTGCAAAGAGGCTAAAAAATAAGGGAAAAAAAATCTAAAGAATAGGAACGATAATATGAGAGAATAGAAAGGGAGAAAAGGGGAGATCTTAAACTCTCATATCCCTGAACAACAAACACTGAACTTGCATTGAACAGTGACAATTTCTTCCAGACTCTACTCCACTACCACCAGAAAGACTCCATCAAGTTTTGAATTTGTAAATTTGCTAAAGTCATCATGGCTGGGCTTCACGAACTAAGATTTGGGAAGGACTCTACCCACACTTGCTACAAGTGTGCTGGTGGCTAAAAAGGCCAATGCAAGATAGACAAGTCCAGTTGCAAAAGGCACAGCAGAAAGACTCCTTAGGTGGTATCGACAAGACACGGTTCTTTCTACGTTGTCTTTTCTCCTCAAGAGTGATCCTGCATGCATTCTCAAAAGAAGCAGCAGCATTATAGTGTGTCTCCAGGCCTCCCGATTGGAGGCCAGAGTAGACCAACAATGATGGATATGGCCAAGGCTGAGACATTGTTTCAGGGAGTCCTTGTATCTCCTCTTCGAGGCTCCTCTCTTGCAGTAGCCGGTGGCAAGTTCACCTTAGAGCACAATCTTAGGGAGGCAGTGGTCCTTCATCCTGGAGACATGCCCTGCCCAACACATGTTGCTGTGTTCTCAGCAACATGGCCTCAATACTTGTAACTGCTGCCTGTTCTAGAACAGATGTATTGGACGTTTAGGATTGTAGAGAGGCAGCATTGATGGAAGCGTTCTAAGAGTTGCAGGTGGTGGCAGTAAATGACCCATGATTCAGATCCATATAACAGAGTAGACAGCACTATGGCTCTGTAAACGCTGATCTTTGTACTTTTCTTCAGGTGTTTGTTTCGCCAAACTCTTTTGTGGAGTTTTCCGAAAGCTCTGTATGCCTTTGCTAACCTGTTACCTCTCTCTCTGTCAATCTTACCATCCGAGGAAATGATGCTTCCCAGGTAATTAAACTGCTGGACTGATTTGAGCTCTGATTCACCAGTGGTGATATGAGGATGGAGGAAGACTTCCTGAGGTGCAGGTTGGTAGAAAACTTCTGTCTTCTTCAAGCGGACTTCCAGCCCAAAAAGCTCAGCAGCCTCTGCAAAGCAGGATGTTAAACGCTGCAGAGCTGCTTCTGTGTGGGTGACAAGGACAGCGGTGTCAGTGTAAAGCAGCTACCGGACAAGAGGGTTTAAGGTCTTAGTGTGGGCCTTCAGTTGCCTTAGGTTGAATGGGCTTCCATTGGTATGATATCAGATGTAGATACCATTTTCTTCGTCGAGGTCTGCCATGGTCCTTTGGAGCATCATGCTGAAAAAGATTGTGAATAGGGTTGGTGCAAGAACGCAGCCTTGTTTCACACCACTGGTTATTTGACAGGGCTCGGAAAGTGCATTGGCATGTCTGACTTGGCCGTGCTGATCCTCATGGAATGAGATGATCATTTTAAGGAACTTGGGGGGACAACCTAAATGTTCCAGAATCTGCCACAGACCTTTTCTGCTCACGGTATCAAAAGCTTTGGTGAGATCAACAAAGGTTACATAGAGACCTTTGTTCTGTTCCCTGCACTTCTCTTGCAGTTGTCTGAGAAAAAATACCATGTCTGTGGTACTCCTGTTGGCTCTGAAACCACAGTGGCTTTCAGGCAGAATTCCTTCTGCTATAGCAGGTATTAGTCTGTTCAAAAGTATTCTTGCAAGGATTTTGCCAGCAATGGAGAGCAGAGCAATACCACAGTAATTTGAACAGTCTGATTTATCTCCTTTCTTCTTATACAAGGTGATGATGACTGCATCACGAAGGTCTGATGGTAGTTCACCTAGTTCCCAACAGCACACCACAAATTTGTGAAATTTAGCATGAAGTGCTTGGCCCCCATGCTTCCAGACTTCAGGTGGAATTCCATCAACCCCAGCTGCCTTGCCAGTTTTCACCTGCTGTATGGCCTTAAGAGTTTCTCCCAGAGTGGGGGCAATATCCAATTCATTTTTCACCAGTTGTGTAATATACTGAATTGCTGAGTCTTGAACTACACGGCTAGTACTGAAAAGAGTTTGAAAGTGTTTGCTAAAGTAACATAAGAGGAAAAGCTGAAGTGTGCAGAACTTGTATTAGTTTGGGAAGCAAATCCCCTGAAGGTGACCTGGATAAAGAGTTCAGTGGTAGTAGAGCATCACAATACCTGACAAAACATTCAACATGAGGAGGCAGATGAGAAGAGAAGCCTGTCATTCCATGCCATTATAAAACATATAAAGAAAATACTAGCCCAATACAGCAAGAACACCAGATGTCTGGTCATCTGTTCCTTTCTCTGCTTACAAGGAAGAAACAACAATAAAAAAACAGCCCTGTACAGAGGTGTGAGTCTAGTCTTTAACGACAGCTAGATCCTCAGAAAAAGGTCAGAAACAACTTATACATCCAGCACATAAATAGATGAGAGTTTGCCAAGAAGGTGACAGTGATGACTTACATCTAACTCTTCTCCAGAGCTGCAGAAATCATGCTACTCAGATACAGAAATCCAGAACCATTTGGAAACCTACATGATCTCATTTCTAACCAGGGCTTTAGTTAGCACATTAGCAGAAGTGCTATGTCAATATACAAGCAGCACATTTTTTGGAAGAAGATATTATTGCTTAACCATGGCACTTATAAAGTGTTGATTTTTTTCAGACACCCAAGTATCTTCATTTGGTCCTATCACTTCTCAGCAGATATACCTACATCCTAAAAAAGTCAGCTTACCAGATGCAAGATTCAGTGGGCAGAATTAAATCTCACTTCCAAATTCTATCCCTTGCCTTAACATAGCACACAATGTAACTCCAACCACATTAGTTTCTTTCTTTTTTAAAATTAGGAAAAAATAACTATTTCCCACAGAACTTCAAAGATAGTTTTTGTAAAGTGCTTCTGAGTTCCTCACATGATGAACATATTCATATTGCATAGAACAGAAACTGGGAGGTGACCCGATTATTAATCCTTTAAGTACAAAAAAAAAAATAAGAAAATTAAATTGTCAGATGAAAATTGTGTTTAATTATAGTGGTAGATACCAAGCCACTCCTGAAATCAGTGCATCAATGTTACTAACCAAGATACGAAATCTAAGCAGAGATCATTTATTCTATTTTGATTCCAGTATAATTTGTTCCAACACATTCTTTGCTTAATTCCAATCTATTTATCCAAAACACAATATAAGCTACACTTAATTTTCTATTATTATTTGGAAGTAAAAAACTTGTTCTTCAGTATTTTGGCTTCAAGAAAAGACAGCTTGTGAATCCACTGACCATCTCAATTAAGAACTTTTCTTCAGTTTCCAAAGCCCTATCAACACTTATCTCAGAGTCTTCCACAGATCAAGCCAAATCTATGTTTA